CCACACGGTCGCCCGAAACGGCACGAGATACGACGTAACGAAATAACGAAACGATTGTAGAAAAAGGCGGAAACTGAAATGGACATACCTCTCGCACGGAGTTGATGTTGATGTAGTACTCGGTGTCTTGGGGATGGGGAACGAAAGGCTCGACCAAGAACTGCCTCAGGACACCATCGACAGTCTCGACACGCTGCTCCTTTCCTGCCCGCGCCTCGATCCACTCCCTCGCCTCAGCCCAGGTCTTGTTCAGCGCGAGCAGACCGCTCTTGCCTCGCCTCTTGATGAGCTGATCTGGCTTTGCGACGAACTTGGAACCGGGAGTCAGGAGCCATGGGTATGTGGCCTCGGCCTGGTCGAGCACGCCCTTGATGTCCTCATCGGCGGCGAAGTGCAGCGATGCGAGCTTGGAGGGGGGGTTGTGTGTGGCCGACGCGGGCAGGGGAGTGGGCTTGATGACAGGCGCGCGGGTGAGGTGGTAGTTGAGGATGGCCTTGCCGTCGGCCTCGAGGATAGACTTGGCTGACATTGTGGTGTATGGTCAAACTGCGATGGATGAGTGTCAATGTCAAGAGGGGCGGCTCGCGTGGAGACAATGGGGTGCAAGAGATATGGCTGGCAGGCAATCCCGAAAGAAGTCTCGGGTATGGCAATGGGGCCTTATGCAATGTCCGGAGACGAAGATGTTCGGAGAAGATGGTGAGGGGGCCGGGACAAAAGATGCGAAGTGGCAGGCTGGGGAGTGGGCAGACGTACCTGGATTTGTTGAGGCTTGACACACGGTCTGCAGAGGGTTAAGAGGAACTGCTGGCAAGACTGAGTTGTCAGACGGCTTGGGAGGAGCTTGAGAAAGCGGTCTGATGTTTTTTCTGCGTGTTGAGCACTGAGGGCGGGCAGCGGATGCAGGGCTAAGGCACTGGGCGCACGGCGGGCCTATCACGGCGAGGACACCCCACCAGGGGTACAGGAGCTGCGGATGCCCTACACGACCCACGACGAGATATCAACGACCCGAACACACGCTTCCCGGGGGATTTTCCGCGATAACACCTTCCAGAAAGCGCGCACGCGGTGCATTGAAGCCCCATCTATTACCAACACCCCCAATTCCGAGGTGCGACGCTGCGGTGCAGACATTCGGGTCCCCGTTCACCGCTCGGGACTTGGGGTTAGCGCCACACGCATCTAGTTCGTGCAGGGGATATCACTCTCCAGCTCAACACCGCCAAAAGTAAGGGCCAAACTTCGGAAAGAATCGCTGCTCCCTCTTCGCAACCTTCTCCCCATCCATCCAAGTACTCTGCTCTGCCCTCAGCACGGCATTGCATCCATAAGGTAAGTCACTCGCTCGCTCCTTCCCTAGCCCTTGTTGAGCTCCATCCCACCTGCCCGCTCTTGCGTGCCTGCCCCAACAGCTCCGAAGCATTTTTTCCCACGCGAAATACCCCGACCGCCAACCTTATCTGCTCGTCACAACGCCCGTTCCGAGCCAGACTGACCCTCCCGCCTCTCTAGAATTAATCGACCTTCACAATGCCTTCCGCAGCACCCCCCAACGGGAGCGTCCCAGCGCAGGCGGCCACCTCGAGCGACGGCCTCTCCGCCAACGACAACATCCGTCGTTTCGCTGCCCCCAGCCGGCCCATGAGCCCCCCGGCCTCGCACACACTCTTCCATCCCAAGACACGATGCTTCGTCTAGTAAGACCACCACGCCTGCAAAATACCGGAGCGCGGCTCTAACACAATGTGAACAGCGGACTGCAGCCCCGTGCCGTCCAGGGCATGCTCGACTTCGACTTCATCTGCAAGCGCAAGCAGCCCTCCGTCGCCGGTATCATCTACACATTCGGCGGTCAATTCGTCAGCAAAATGTACGTAGTCGTCAATACCCCGACATGCCCCGCCAAGCATCCGACTCACACAACACAGGTACTGGGGAACCAGCGAGACTCTGCTGCCCGTCTACCAGACAGTCGAGAAGGCCGTTGGCAAGCACAATGATGTTGACACCGTTGTCAACTTTGCCTCGTCGCGCTCAGTCTTCCAGTCCACCATGGAGCTGATGGAATTCCCTCAGATCAAGTGCATTGCCATCATTGCTGAGGGTGTACCCGAGCGAGTAAGTTCCAACCGCAGCAAAAACTATTCTGAATAGCCACTGACTTGCACCAGCGTGCGCGTGAGATCCTCCACGTTGCCCAGAAGAAGGGCATCACCATCATCGGCCCGGCCACCGTCGGAGGCATCAAGCCCGGTGCGTTCAAGATTGGTAACACTGGTGGTATGATGGACAACATCGTTGCCTCCAAGCTCTACCGCCCTGGTTCCGTCTCATACGTCTCCAAGTCCGGAGGTATGTCCAACGAGCTGAACAACATCATCGCAAACACTACCGATGGTGTGCTCGAGGGTGTTGCCATTGGTGGTGACAGGTACCCCGGTACCACCTTCATCGACCACGTTCTCCGATACCAGGCCGACCCCGACTGCAAGATCATTGTCCTGCTCGGTGAGGTTGGTGGTGTTGAAGAATACCGCGTCATTGAGGCTGTCAAGTCTGGCCAGGTCAACAAGCCCATTGTTGCGTGGGCCATTGGTACTGTTGCTGGTATGCTCAAGACCGAGGTCCAGTTCGGTCACGCTGGTTCTTTCGCCAACTCTCAGCTCGAGACTGCGGCCACCAAGAACAAGACCATGAGGGAAGCTGGCATCTACGTCCCAGAGACCTTCGAGGAGATGCCCGGCACTCTTGCCCAGGTCTACCAGAAGCTCGTCAAGGACGGCACCATCAAGCCCAAGCCTGAGCCCGTTGTACCCAAGATCCCCATCGACTACTCATGGGCGCAGGAGCTCGGTCTCATCCGAAAGCCCGCTGCTTTCATTTCCACCATCTCTGACGACCGTGGTCAGGAGCTTCTGTACGCTGGTATGCCCATCTCTGATGTCTTCAGGGAGGAGATCGGTATCGGTGGTGTCATGTCACTGCTGTGGTTCCGTCGCCGCCTGCCCAACTACGCCAGCCGTTTCCTCGAGATGGTTCTCATGTTGACTGCCGATCACGGTCCAGCTGTGTCTGGTGCCATGAACACCATCATCACTACCCGTGCTGGCAAGGACCTCATCAGTGCCTTGGTCTCTGGTCTCTTGACCATTGGATCGCGCTTCGGTGGTGCGCTCGACGGCGCCGCTGAGGAGTTCAGCAAGGCCTTTGACAAGGGCCTCAGCCCTCGTGACTTCGTTGACACAATGAGGAAGGAGAACAAGCTCAGTAAGTCGCCTAAGCTGAAAGCCATATTTTTACAGCAGCTAACGTCTATCAGTTCCCGGTATTGGTCACAGGATCAAGTCGCGTAACAACCCCGATCTTCGTGTCGAGCTCGTCAAGGAGTACGTCAAGAAGAACTTCCCCAGCACCAAGCTGCTCGACTACGCGCTTGCCGTCGAGTCGGTGACCACATCGAAGAAGGACAACCTGATTCTCAACGTTGACGGCTGCATTGCTGTCTGCTTCGTTGACCTTGTTCGCAACGGTGGTGCTTTCACCCAAGAGGAGGCTGAGGACTACCTGAAGATGGGTGTCCTTAACGGTCTCTTCGTCCTTGGCCGAAGTATCGGTCTCATTGCCCATTTCCTTGACCAGAAGAGGCTGCGCACTGGTCTTTACAGACATCCCTGGGACGACATCACCTACCTCCTGCCCTCGCTGCAGGCTGGTGGTGCGCCAGGTGCCGAGGGCCGTGTTGAGGTTACTTTGTAGAGTCATGGTTTGGAAAAGGCAAGGGTATATCCGGTTCTAGTCGCTTGATGGCGGACCCAAACTGGCGTTTTGAGCGTGGTAGACGAAGGTCTTCCGCAGCATCGTAGGGCCATTGTAGCAATACCCGCCCGCTGTTGGCGGACATATATTATTTAATGTCAAACGAACAAGCAATGCGAGTTCCACGTGCCATGTGCCACGTGCCGTGTCTCGATACGGATGGGTCGGCAGCACTTTTTCAGCCCTGTGGGCGGCCTAACGTAGTGCTCTGATCCATCTTTAGCCACCCTACATTCCGCTCGAAGAAGCAAACCCTTCGTCTGTTCGCCGCAATAATTCTCACCAACACGAATCTTGAAACGGCGACATCTTGAAGATGAAGTCGCCCACGATAGAAGGAAAATTATCCATCCGGTTGAATCATAGCTTAAATGCAAGTAAGGCAGATTCATGTTCTGTACCGCTGACCCACAGAAACATGGTGTGGCAGTATCGTATGTTTCCTCATTGTACCTGATGTGCCGAGTCCCGCTCACCGGTATCCCGGTCACGACCACGAGAAGCGTTAGTAAATATCTTAGGCTAACTGGACGTAGGATAGCGGCCAACACACTCGTGCGAGAGAATCATTCTTCATAGGATCTGGGCTCCCGCTGTCAGCACCCAGCCACCCCGTTGGATTTTGCAGGATTCGATGCGCCCCAAAGCCATACCTATAGTCTTGGCATCCACTATAGTCTCGTTGAATACGGCTAATTCGGATGCTGTGTAACCAAGAAACCGCAACACTTTGGTTCATGCATCGATGATGCCTTTGCACGGATGTCTATCCGTCTGCAATATTTGGCTCGAGGCAGTCATGAACATGTCATAGTTGTTCAGCAAGGTTGCAGCTTCAGTCACGCCGCGGCCCTACATGCGGCGCGTACAGAGCTGTGAGTTCTTCCGCGTCGCTTACATTAGGCGTTCAGCCGCTATCGTTATTGGGGGCCACGGACTGTTCGCTTCTTTGTGCTGGCGGGTAAGGTGCCTGGCTGCCTTGGAAATAAGCATGGGTATCTAGTTCTGCATGCGAGCTGCCGCAGGGAATAAGTAGATATGTGATCCCGGGGTTCAGTTGGTGTTCAGCCTTGTCGCTGGTATTATCGTCACCAGCAAGCACCATCGTCACCGTTTTGGTGTTGAGGTACCACACCAACATACCTACTCTCGCAATGTTCACACGCACCATCGTCGCCGCAATGGCTTCGGCCTCGCTGGCTGGCGCCCAGAGTTCAGACTCGGAACATACACTTGCTGCTTTCGCTTTCGTTCGCACGGGAGAACGGACACCCATCTTGCGCAATGATACCCAGACTCTTACCAATCTCGGCGCGACCCAGATGCATGCGCTTGGTCAAAAGTTCAGATCAAAGTTTGTTTCCGGTCCTGAGTCTATTGCGGGACTATCAGAGGATGTCCTGAACAACGACCAGATTTGGGTTCAGACTCTCGATGCGCCATACCTGGTATCGTCGGCGCAAGCCTTCATGCAAGGGCTTTACCCACCACATGGCATCAGCAACGCAACTGATGACAATACGGGTGTCCTCGCTGACGGTACTTCGGTCGACTACCCGCTCAACGGATATCAGTACGCTAGCATCCATGCTGCGAATGTGTACGACCCAATTTCGCGACTTGTATCTGGAGCTGGACAATGTCCACAGGGACAAACCGACGCACTGAGATATTTCACGACTCAAGAATATCGGGACGCCGAGTATTTGGCAGACAACAGTGAACTGTACAAGAACCTCCCTCTAGATTGGTTCGAAGGTCACGTCAATCAAGATGAACTGTAAGTACGATTGGAGGCGGAATACGTCTTAGACTTTCGCCTTCTATTTTATGGTCTTCTCCTACCCCTGCCCTACCTTCTCTGGTGCAGAGCTTATTCAGTACTGTCATGTGATTCAAATACTGACATTGACACAGGTCATATATGTATGCACTTGAACTGGCAGACTACTTATCATACCAATACATGCACAACGCTAGTATCTACAAGACCCTAGCAAACAATGAGTCCGGCTTATACGATACGCTCCGATCCCGCGCCGACGAAGTAGCCTGGTATCTCTACGGCAACACCTCAGCCTCCGACACCAGCAACCGAGCCATCGGCGGCAAAACGCTCGCCGGCTCGATCCAAAACACCTTCGACATGCTCGTATCTGGCAAGAACAACAGCGCCGGCGATCTCAGCAGCGCAGGCCAGATCAGCACGCCCAGCCCACTCACCTTCTTCTTCGGCGAACAAGACGCCATGATGAGCCTCATGTCCTTAATGATGCTCGACACACAGTCCGCCGAATTCAAATCCATCCCACCCTACGGCTCCGCCATGATATTCGAACTCTTCAGCACCAGCTCCAACACAGCCATGCCCAGCGACCCCGACGACCTCTGGGTACGCTTCTACTTCCACAACGGCACAGACGCAGACGACAAGCCACTGCAATCCTACTCCATGTTCAACAACGGGCGTTCCAAGACAGACATGCGATACACAGAGTTCGAAAGACTCTTCAGCACCATCTCCATGCAGGGCCTAAGCGACTGGTGCGAAACCTGCAGCACAGGAGCTTTCTTTTGCCGCGGCGCAGACGGCAGCGGCGTCACGCTCGTCGTCCCCGCTACCCACGAAAGACCAAGTAAAAACGGCGTCTCCCCCGTCGTCGGCGGCGTAATCGGCGCCGTCGTGTCCCTCGTTGTAGCAGGTCTTCTCTTCGCACTCGCTATGTTACTCACCGGACTCCGCTTCCACCGCGTCGAGCACCGTCTTGGTGGCAACCTTCGTAGTCAGAAATCGGATCTTGGCGGCTTCAAGGGCTCGGCGAAGTTGGCGTCGGATCCGGATGTTCGTCTTGCCGGGAACGGGGTGCCGCCTGCGACGAATAACGCGGGGATTATTAGTTTTGGCGGTGATGGTAAGAGGGGGCATGAGAGGGTGGGCAGTTGGGAACTTAGGCAGAAGGAGTTTGGGAAGGATGTTGGGGATGTGAGTCCGAGGAGTAGTTTTGGGGGGATTGATGGGGTTGCTGTTAGGGGGGTTGAGCCGCGGGATCAGGTGTGAGTTGCGACTGACTGAGGTGAGGTGGTGACTGAAAAGTATGTTTGGTTGGATTTGGATACCCTCTTTACGACACGAGTATGATGGCTATTTGAAAGAGGAGGAGGAAAGAGAGGGCCTTGTATGGGCTTTTTGTTTCATACGATCTTGATACCCGGTTTTCCCATGCGTGGGAAACCATTGTAGGTTTACGTCTTTATGAACACGACACTCGCTTTACGAATTAGAGAACGCAAACGTTCCTAACATATCCTCTCACCTTACTTGCGCTCTTACTCACACATCGTACTGTGCTTTATCTTGTCTCACTCACCACTCTCCATGCATTCAGATGCCATCTATCATTCATCAACCCCACCCAAGAATACTCTACACATCCTCTCCAACTACCCATCTCACCATCGATCAAATCAACGCAGAATGCGTAGTCCAATGGTCAAGACGTCCACGCTAAACAATCCACTACTGAGTAGTCCTTTGTCCTGTCGGGCCTGCAGGACCGCGGCAAGGGCGTGTGTCGGACTAAAAACCGCCGCGGGAGTCGTGTGGGAGATGCTAGTTCGAGTCTAGCCGCGTTCATAATATCTTCTTTTTGCTATTGCTGATATACTTAGGCATGTGAGAGTAAGGACGGGAAGATATCGATATAGATAGAGAGTTGGATCCATGAGAAGATAGTATACGGGTATTCTATTCTGGGTGCGATCTTTTTGTGTCAAGTGCTGCCTGAGACGTTGCTGCTTACATACCGTCTAATCTCCTCTTACTTTACATGAGCTGCAAGTCTCCATCTAGATGTTGTTCGTTCTGGACGGTTCTACCTCGAAGACAGGGTTATTTCAAGCAACATTGTCTTCTGGCTAGACATGTTGGACTCAGTCGTTATCCTAATCTCTTGAATGATTGGCTTGAGATAATGTCGTCCAAGTAGAACGACACCAATCTTAATATGGGAATGACAGCACAGAGTATGGTCGAACAAAGTGACATGGAAAAGCTTATATAATCTCATTGAAGGCATATACAGATATGAGTGACGACACAATTCAGCCGCATGCTGTACCGCTAAACTCCTTACGAACGCCATATCGTGGCAAAATCCACACAAGCAAGCCTGTGCCAAAGCACATTCGTATTTTCCGCTCATGAACATCAGGAACCACCGTATTATCCACAAAGAAACGAAGACACGAGCGCATCTCTTCCTCATCTTAGCAGTTGCCCTGCGATTCCAACGGCCACTCCCGCTGTCATCAGGTAGTCGGCACACCGCGCTCTCTTCGCCGCATTCCCTTGGCCATCAAAAGCCGCACAAGCCTCGACGGTAAGCTGCGAGCAGCCCAGACTGCTGAGACTGGAGCAGATGCTCTGAGCGGACTGGAGGCCGACACTGGGAATGGCGGTAATGGTAGCGCCGCCGCCGTTGGGGGCCGAGATGGTGACGCCGGCGGCGCCATTGGCTAGAGCAGTCGTACAACTTGCAGCATCGCTTTGACAGCTTGTATAAGCGGACGAGCAGGCAGCTGCGTTGGTGTAAGTCGTCGGTATGTACGGGAAAGGGTAGAATTGGTTCTGTACCGTGCTTCCGTGGTTTGCGCTATTTGTTTCCTGCACGAAGGGCTGCTCTCCGGTTGTGGATGCGATTACGAAGGAGACGGTCGAGGTGGCCGAGGGGTTCGCGCCGGTGGGGACTGCGCCGATGGCTCCTGTGCAGGCGACGCCTTGGGGACAGCATGCTACGTGGCCTGCCTGGTCGGCTGAGCAGACGGCTGTTCGTGGGCAGCAGAGTCCGGGCGCGCCAAGGCCGGCGCAGTTGAAGTACGACGTCGCGCATGCATTGCCTTGTCGCTTGAGCAGTTCGAGGTTGCCGTCGGCGGGAGACGTCTCCATGGCCTCGTATACGGGCGTCGGTAATGGCGCAACGGCGGCCTCGAAGTCGCCGTAGACATCGGGTGCGGCGAGCGCGGCGAGCGGCGCAAGCAGTAGCGGGGCGAAGAATGTGCGCATTGTGAGAGTATAGATGTTGGTCGTTCGTGAGGCAAGGTGTGCGGCTTGCGCCGGGGAGTGGTGATGTCGTACGGGGCCGGCTTGTTGTTGGGACGGCTACGGCTATCGATGTAGTAGTGGCTGGGCGCTGTTTGCATGAGCTTGGGACCGATGTGTGCCAATTAGTAACTCACAATTGGAAGCGCAGTGCAGTCGACGGTCGCAGTATGGGCTGGCAGGTGTCGAGATGTCGTGGGCATCAAAGTCGGTGCGGCTGTGTGGTATGCGCCAAGCAAGGTGCGTTGTAACGGCAACGCGGTCCAAGCATCCAATCGGACTATAGTACGTCATGCACATGGCACGTTCTCGTCCACGCCCGCGATACGGGACGGCGGGCCCTGATGATCTCTTCCTTTTACTTTGGCCCTGCTTTTCTGCTTACACCGCTTACCGCACTTTGCCTGCGTTTTTCGTATACGATCCCAACCATAGCTTCACCTCGGCGGCTGTGAGGTAAAAGCGCAATCACGTGAAACACTTATCTAGCCATCAGTGGGAAAGTGCATTAGCACTATTCTTCATCGATGTTTCTAGGGCAAGGCATCCGTTACGCTACGCTTTGTTGTGGTGAAAGACATTGTGGCTGTGCTCGAATAGTTCAAGATGAGTCGAAGTGAGCGGCGCTGCGCTAGGTAAACCATTTGCGAACGCGCAGTGTAAATAAAGTCCTGTCACCAGACTCTGTGATCAAACTTTCGTTCTATGTCCATATCACGAACGACTATCGCTTCCCTTTCGAGATCGTGTTACTCCACCAGACCCAAAATCTCAACCACAGTGCGAAGATGCCCGCCATACGTCTGACTCTCGCATCAAATGCAAACCAATCAACGAAATGCCCAATCCTTATACCCGCTTCCGCGTCCACTAACCCCACAGCTTCGTCTTCTGTCCGAGCGCTTGTCTTCAAGAGTGCGCAGGCAAAACTGCGTGTAAAGAAACCTACTCGTGTCTTTGTCGGACGCAGCGGGCAAGAGCTTGTGTCGGAAGCAGATTGGAAGAGCAACACTAATAACGATGTCGTATTGCTCGTCTCAGCAGGAGAAGACTATGTTGGTGCCAGGAAAGTATCAGGGGTGCATGGTAAGTAGCACTGACGTTTGAGCAAGTTTGCGCTCAATATCCATGCTTACCCCCCTTCCGTATTACGATCAACTACTGACGCAATATAATAGCCGACGCAAACCCACAATGCCCAGTTGAAGTATTAGCATCTGAAGCAACCCTCGTTGAACCGCTGGCTTTATCTCAGCTGGAGATCACCGCGCGCACGCTTCCGGGTATCATACACGCCGTTGGTCAACCCGATCTCCACCCAGGCACCAAGTTTCCCATCGGCGCAGTCTTTGCTTCCAAGGGATGGATCCATCCTCCTCTAATCGGTGGCGATATCGGATGTGGTATGGCCTGGTACAAAACGACACTCAACAGAAGCCAGGTTGATGGGAACAAAGGCAAGAATGTTGCTAATCAGCTTCGGGGACTAGAGGGTGCCTGGCGCAACCAAGCCTATCGAGAGAAATGGCTCTTGGACGAAGACAACTGTAGCATTTCCGCCGGTAAACAGTGGGACGCTGCCCTGGGCACCATAGGAGCTGGGAATCATTTTGCCGAGATCCAGGTCGTCGAGGAATCGGGATTTGCCAAGTCGGACGATGGACTCCATCAAGATGATGTCGTCCTGCTAGTCCACTCGGGATCACGAGGACTAGGAGGTAGCATTCTCAAGAAGTACACAACCGACTCACGCACAAGCTTTCCGGACGATAGCGAGGACGCCAATGCATACCTGGAGGAGCACAACAAGGCCTGCGAGTGGGCAAAGGCGAACCGAGATCTGATTGCCCTGCGGTTCCTTGCATGTCTTGAGCCTGGCAATGAAGACTGGCAGCTGGGCGACTCGAACGCAAGCGACTTCGGCGAAGAGGGCATAACGATGATCGCGAAAGCCAAAGCGGCACTGAGGAAGCGTAAGGTAGTTGACATCTGGCACAACAACGTCGAATGTGTAGCATGGCCTCCACCTGTCCCTTCTTCAGCTGCGGAGGAACCTACGCCTGAACTTAGTCTGACCGAGGGGCTGGACAAGATGGCACTTGGCGATGAAAACACTCCAAGAGAATACGTCCTTCTCCATAGAAAAGGCGCAGCCCCGACATACGACCCCAAAACTCAGTTGCCGCTCAGTCTCCTTCCACTGCCCGGTTCCCGGAGCACCGCCACGCTCATCCTCCAGCCAACATTCTCGGAAGCCAACTCATGGGGTCTTAAAAACGGACTTTCGCTGGCCCATGGCGCAGGACGAGCCATGTCTCGGGCAAAGGCTCTCCAGACCTTGGGTAAGAAGTACAAAGGCATTAACATCTTGGAGCCGAATGCAGAAAACCCAGAAGGCACGTGGGTCATATGTGACGAGAAGGATCTTGTCTTCGAAGAGGCTCCATGGGCATACAAAACCGTTCAGGATGTCGCAGCGGATCTGGAAGCTGCCGGTGCAGCGAAAATAATCGGCTGGTGCTGCCCTAGAGTCAGCTACAAGGTTCGGAAAGAATTGGATCTACTGAGGTAGCCCCATCCTCGATGCGCTAAATTTACGTGGAACAGATCGTTCTCCACCGGGCATGCCGCGATCCGTATGGATGCCGGTATTTGAGTAAGAAGGGTACCCAAGCGTCCTGCGCAATATGCGAAAGAGTAATGATGAGTATGTAATTTCGATGTTTCCATATCACTCTGCATCAGATAGATGCAGCAACCCTGTCTATTCCCACTTCAACCGCTTCTCGTCAATTTCCTCTGCTTCCCACGCCTCCTCCTTCTACATCATCTCATCTCATCTCGATCTCGAGTCACACCCGTCTTTGCCGTGCCGTGCAACCTTGTCCACCGCCTCTCTGCCTCAGTAAAACACAGAAAATCGCATCTGATACACCCGCGCCAGGAACGCATGTTTGGTCTATTTGCGTCGATAAGCGCGACAACGAGAGTTTTGTGTGGAATGTTTGTTCCCTTAGGGACTCGGCTAGTGGAAAGGGTGCAACACGCAAGCGCCATGCCACTGTATGGGGTAAATTTGGATCTGTACCAAGACTGTTAGATCCGACTAGCGCTGCAGTAGTCAAAGCTTGGTATGTTGGCGGCAGAAAAAACATCTGCGACAGCCTGACCCTATCTTCCTCAGAGTATCTGCATCAGCAAGCGACGACACGACAGAGACACTGCAACTCTTCATGGCCTCCAGCCTACGTGGCATTAATGACTCTTACTTCCCAGCCCCAAGATGTAGCCCCCGTTGGCGCATACAGAAAACTGAGCTGGCTGGGGCCAAGTCTGACAAACTCCACACCAGGCTCAGCCCTGGCCTCAGGAACAAGGCCCGCCCCCGCAATGATTGGCCGGCAAAGCGCCCATGCGTCTTGGTGTTTCGAAACGGCGAAGCGGGCGCGCATCCTTTAGCGCAAAAACGGCAAACAACACCTGGTTTCATGCAATAACGAAGGCAGTCTTTGTTCGCGGCGGCCAATCAGCCGGAGCGAACCGGCAGAAAAGAGGGTTCCGTAGTGGGTTTGCGTGCAAGTGACGGCGCGCAAGGCTTTGCGGGAAATGGGCGTTGGATCAGATGGATGCGTGATGGGGCTTTCTTGGTGTGTGACGCCCCAACCACCGGTGCATGGTGCCTGCTGCGCCTCTACCCGGCAGGAAAGATTATATAGTGTTTGCCAGCCGCCAGCTTCCTGAGGAATCATCCCTTTCTGCAAGCAAATCCCCTTCACTGGTTTTTCCTACAGTTCATTGTCTGCCAACAGAGTCTTTCGCTTTGCTTTATCAGCGTTCGCTATAATATTCGGTATGTAATCACAGTCCCTCGAGCGGTTTGCGCTTTCCCAATTCCCATTCCATTCCTACCCGGGTGCCGTTCGTGGAACTTTCCGTTTGCATTATTCGTTCGACAAGGTTCTATCGCGCTTTCCCCTCTCGCACTTCAATTGCGCGGATCTCATATAAACACACTTGGCGCCTCCACTTCATTTCCCCGATCACTCAGTTACTTCGCTCATCTACTCTTCCTCTCCACCTGCACTCGCTAAACAATTCCCACAGTCGAGTCTCAACTTCATTCTTTCACAAGAAACCACCAGCCACACATTCAAAATGCTTGTCTCAATCATCTCCGTTCTGGCCGCGGCCACCGCCGTCGCCGCCCAAGGCACTCCCGCTCCCGTCGTAATGGGCAACCCCATAGGTGCCAAGTACGTCGGTACTCTCCCCGCCAAGGAGGGCAGCGCTCTCACCGGATCCATCGAGGCCACCACCGGCGCCGACGGCAAGGGCGTCAAGTTCCAGGTCTCCTTCGCTGGCCTTCCCGAGACTGGCGGTCCTTTCATGTACCACCTCCACGCTAAGCCTGTTCCTTCTGACGGCAACTGCACTGGTACCGGCGCTCATCTGGACCCGTACATGCGCGGCGAGGCTCCTCCCTGCGATGCTACCAAGCCTGAGACTTGCCAGACTGGTGACTTGAGCGGCAAGTACGGAAACGCTACTGAGACCACTTTCTCGGCTGAGTACACCGACTTGTACTCTGCTACCCTGCCTTCTGACCCTGCTTTCGTAAGTCTTGATCATTCGCTGTAATCTGGAAACCCAATTTGCTAATACATCACAGTTCGGCGCCCTATCCTTCGTTGTTCACCTCAGCAACAAGACCCGTATCGGCTGCGCCAACTTCACCATGGTCTCTGCTGGCGAGGGTGAGGGCTACCCAGCTGCCTCTTCCTCTGCTGCCATGTCTTCCGCCCCAGCCATGTCCTCCGGATACGCCATGCCTCCTACCACTGCCTCATCCGGCTTCGCCATGCCATCAGGCTCGCCCGCCTACAACGCCACCAGCACTGGCATGATGTCGCCCACCACCGGCATGCCCATCCCTCCCAGCTCAGCTTCCGCCTCAGCCCCAGCTGAGTTCAGCGGCGCCGCCGTCAAGGTCGCCGGTGGCGCTGGTGCTCTGCTCGCCGCTGCTGCCGCGCTCGTCTTGTAGAGTGTTCAGATGGGAGCATAGGTGCATCATGGAGTTTTCTTCTTTTTCTTCTTTTCAATGTCATTGATACCAGATGGGTCGCTAGATCGGCTTCATCGCTTCTTTTCGCCAGACACGCGAGGGTCCATTACTTTGGTACCCTTTTTTTCGCATGTGTATAGGGTCATGTTCACGGGGTCACTTCTTCAATAATGTAGTTTGATAATGGGCTAGATATGAGAATGTCACAGATTTGCAAATACTGTTATTGCGTCCTTGGTTGTCTTCGGTGAATGTTCTGACATGACTTTATCAGGGCGCCTCTGTGACGGTGAATGTACATGTTAGTATGCATGGAAACGCTGTACATCATCACTCAGATTGATCAACAGGAAGATGGTGACGTTGGTGACTTGCTCAATTGCAGTCGATGGCCATCTGGCTCATATTCATGTGTAGTACATGAGGGTATCATTCCCCGTCGAAGCATTCAAGCCTGCGTTTCAACCTCCACCTCGTATCCTACTCTCGTGTCTAATGCTATACAGTAAAGTATGCGCAACTCGAAGTAACAGGTGTCTGTCTAAGCCGTGTTCAGGACCGCTTCCTCGTCATCGCTATCAGAGTAGTCGCCACGACCAGACTTCTTGAAGCGGGGCTTGTCTTCGGCAAGCGAAAACTCTTGAGAGCGCTTGTTGTATCGAATGCCGCCGAACTTCCAGGCCACGAACTTCTCTGCGTCCTCGAATTCCCTGAAGCGGACAGTGACGATACCCCTGGGTTCTTTGTCCCACAGAGTGGTATTGGTCACTTTGCCGATCTCCTCAGCCTTCTCGCGCATGTCCTCCTTGATCTCTAGGTAGGCTTTCGGGTCGGTCTCGAGTTGATCCAAGGTGAAGACGTTCTTGATGATGACGACCTTGGCCCACTTGTTTTTCTTCGCCACGAAGGTCTGAGCAACTTCCTCCTCGTTGTCAGACCATTCGTTCAGCTTGCTACAACTTTGTTAGTGACGATTCGAGGGTAAATAGATATGCGAACTTACCGGTTTAGCTCTTGCCTGTTACGCTCCGACGCCTTACGATCGGAACGCGTTAGCTTCGATGCAACCTTATCGCCATCCTTCTCCTTCTTAAACTCCATCTTAGCAGGCTCGACGTGGATATGACCGTTCTTCGTGTCGCCGGGGCGAAGAGGATAGTCGTCCATCATCAAGACCGCGTTGCGGATCGACTCCTTCTTGAAGTAGACGACCAAGGCGGTGCCATTGAAGTTGCCCTCATCATCTTTATACATATTGATTCGGGGCTCGCCGTTTGCGCCTTTATCAATGATACCATACTTCTTGCATTCGTCGTGAAGCTCGTCCCTGGTGGTGTCGAGAGGCAAGTTCGAAAGGTAGATCGCCTTGTTCTCGAGGACTTTGGGCTTCTTGTTGGCCTGCATCATGTTAGCGAGTGATCTAGAAGGTTGAGATGCTACTAACCTCGGGTTCCTTTTCAGCCTTTCGCTTCTTGTTGGTCTGAGGCTCTGGTGCTGGTTCGGGAGGTGCAGACGGAGATCGGGAGACAGCTAGATGTCCCTCGAACTCCCGACCCTGCATGAAGTCGTCGAGTTCGGTGTTGTGACTGGACATGATTGTGTTAGAATATGTCACAGCAAAGTTCGTGCCAAAGAGGTTCGGCAATAGGTTCGGCAACGGTTTCGCGGCTCAGCAACTGGTCAAGGTGCACGTTGGTGAGACGCGCAACTTGTTGTTGTTGTGGTGAAGAGGAGCTCGAGTAGTCGGCGGCAGAAATATTGGGCGGTAAGGTCTGTTTGCGGGACAACGGGCGCTACGGCGTTGATGTTTCTCCGGTGCCGGTAGCAACAAGGGCTGTTGCCTAGCGAAGAAGAGAACTCAGGGCGCTGGGAGTGATGACAGCAGCCTTGGAGGTCGCTGTTGGAGACGCCATGGTTCGTTAGTCTTTCTGAAGGGCAAGCCTTCTAATGCCGCCATGCTCTTTCAGAGGGCGCGGATGAACCTACACAGCGCTGTGCGAGATGTATAGGAGCTCAGAGGCGAGTGAGGTTTGTTGTGCTGACCAGGTGAGGTTTGTGGATGAGGAGGAGAGGAATGACGATGGCAGGACCGATAGAGTCGCGGAGTGGTGCATGCAGGACGCCGGCGAATTCCCGCCTAGCGCCGTCAGGGTAAGCTTTAAGCTTCGATCGCAGCAGCCTTAGCCCCGCATGTGCCGACTCAGTGATCACGGTAAAACGCCCATCCGAGGCATGCAATGTAGGACACACGAGACACTCCAGACGCAAGAGGAAACCCTCGAAGATCACTGCGCCCCACCGCCGAGTATATATAGGCGGAACATGTAGCCGCAAGAGTCCAGTATTTCTCCCTGTTCCTGCTCTTGCGACCGTTGCGCACAGCGAAACTGATACACCATGTCTTTAGTCGATATCCTGCTCAGACCCAATATGCGGGACCCGCTTCCTGCGCCCTCGCTGCTCGTGCAGTCTAGCAAGTCGTTCGCCGACAAGCTGAGCCTGACGACGCTTCCGTACCACGTCCACGAGATCCTCCTCGGCTTCCTGGGCTACCATCTCATCCTCCATGTCCTTTCTCCGACCATCTCGCGACTCGTCTGCCCGAACATATACAAGAGCTTCAACAAGCGCACGCGACTCAACTGGGACATCCACTGGGTTTCTATGATTCAAGCGCTATTCATCTGCGCCGCTGCGCTGTGGGTCATCTTCAAGGATGAACAGAGGCACGAGATGGACTGGAGGGGCAGACTGTGGGGATATACGCCAGCTAGCGGTATGGTGCAGGGATTCGCAGCTGGGTACTTCCTATGGGATCTCCAAGTGTCCGCGCAATACATCAACATTGCTGGCGTAAGCTCTTTGATCCATGCGATCGGTGCTTTGGCCGTGACCTGCATTGGTTTTGTACGTTCTCTGCTCCCGTACAGCATCACACATACTGACTCTCTTCTAGAAACCATTCGGAAACTACTACGGCCTCTCCTTCGTCCTCTACGAACTCTCCACCCCGTTCCTCAACATCCACTGGTTTTGCGACAAGCTCGGAATGACTGGCTCAAAGCTCCAGCTCTACAACGGCATCGCCCTCCTCGTTACTTTCTTCGGCTGTCGCATCGTCTGGGGCTCATACCAGTCTGTGATGATCTACTCAGACATCTACAAGGCGCTCACTATGCCCAAGCCCGAACTCATGAGCTCTCTGCTCGAGGCCCAGAAGTGCGACGGAACCTCCAACAGCAGCATGGGTCTCGATGGACCTGGAAACTGCACAGCTGGCGAGCTGCCCATGTGGCTGGTCTGTGTATACTTGGTGGGCAATACGGCGTTGAGCATGCTCAACTTCTTCTGGTTCTCGCAGATGATCAAGGCTGTTAGGAAGAGGTTTGTACCTGCGGAGGAGACCAAGGCTAAGAAGAGTCAGTAAGCGTCCTTCTTGACGAATGATGTGGTGGATCAAGAATGCGCAAGTGTCTGGAATGGCGTTCTTGACGTCGCAGGATGAATGTAATGGATGGACAGGGAAAGAGTGATGATACCCAGCGGTCTTTGGATAGTTTCTCAAAGTGGATGATACTGAATATGAATTATGCGCTTCAACAGCAGCAATGACGAGCTCGACAATTCTGATATATCCACCCATTCATGCCAAGAACGAATCGAATGAAATACTCCTCATGACTTCTCATAACTTGGCACTCGCAGCACCCATCTTCTCCACCTCCTCCCTCAACACCCTCCTCATCTCCCCCGCCATCTTAGCCCCCTCCTCATCATCCAAATCATCCCTCTGACCCCGTCCAAACATAGTCCAACTCTTATTCTTGATCTCCGGCATCGTCTCCGGACGCGGGATGATGTGGAAATGTACATGAGGTACTACTTGCGCGGCACGTGCTCCTGCAAGTATTTATTAGAATACAAAGAGATCAGAAAAGATTGAAGAAGTAAGAAACATACCGTTATTCTGCACGATATTGTAATCCGTCACGCCCGTTACTTTAGCCACCGTCCGTGCTAGTATCGGTAACCAGAAACCTAGTCGCACAGTCAGTATGTCACTCTTTACCAACAAGTGAAATATGTTAGCTTAACGTACCAATCTCCCTACTCTCCACAGCCTCCATATCCGCAACCTTGACCTTATGCTGACGCGTAGTAACAAGCAAATGGCCTCCCGTCATCGGCAAGATGTCCAGAAAAGCAACGACATCCCTACTCCTCAGCACCACAAAACTACTCGGACTCGTTTTCTCTGGATCGCTCTCCTCCTCTTTTGGTATACTCTCTTTTAACAAGTCTTGTTCTAGGGTACTGCTGCTCTTCCATAGTGAGGGAGTGGGCGGTGGACTGCTCGGGGAAATAGACGAGGGTGATGATGAGGGGAAGGGGAAGGCGGCGGCGATGGTGCAGAAGGGGCAGGTTTGGGGTGGGTAGTGGAGGTCCGTTTCTTGCATTGTTGCGTTGCGTTGGTTGGTTACTAGGAGCGTTGGTTGTGCTGGATTGTGGGGATGTAGTCGGAATGATGGTGAATACTGGTTGATGAATATTGACAATAATTGATGAACGGGTGCTGACGATGCCGTATGTTGATATATCCACGTCTTGTTCCGGTAGGTAGGTGAAGGGCCGGTAACGCTGTCCAGATAACGCAGGTGCAAGTCGTTGTGGCAGCACAATTCACAACCTCCACTAACTCAAACGTCTTCAAAATCGAACAAAAAAGACGACGAAAGATAAAAAGGATAATCAGGGTCTTCCCCGTATTGATGATCGATCAACACGCAATCAACGCGCAAAGCTGTGGTCGCAGTGCATTCAGGTGAGCTCCGTATTCAGATTAGCGCCGATGTCGACGTGAATTGCCGAGGCACATTGATCGCGGGAACGCGACATGGCCGGGCTGGGCACGTCTGCATCGCGATCGTGGAGCGGCAACGCGGGCGTGTTGGTGTCAGTGCTGAACTGGACGCGCAAAACCAAGGAAAATGTGGCGTCTGAACACGGTCGTGACGTACCGTGTATTTTACGAGTCTTGGACGCGCGACGCGATGCGCTTTTTCGTGTTTAGGTGTGGGTCTTTGCCTGAGATGGCTGGGGAAGGATGGCTAACAGCATCTATGGCATCATCATGCAATGTCAGAGCAAAGTCACGTCACGTCAGACGAAAGCGAGGCTCATTGAAATTTCTGTCTCCATTTGACGCGAAACAGTGCGTTTTCAGACTATTCATACACTCTGAGAGCTGCCTCACATTTGCTATCCCAATGACCCATATTTCCCACAGACACCACATACAGATCCGCCAAGGAATAGCCTCTCCCATATCACACCATTCATGGTATATCGATCGCTAATGCTATGAGCGAGTATCCAGAGCCGCTACAGAGAAATGAAGTTAAGAGTGATGTGAAAAGGCAAGCACCCTTGATTTGCGCCTCCGTGCATGGGGGATGAACGCCTGCGACTCCATGTTCCAAAACAAGACAAGAGAAACCATAACAGAATTGTGCAACCAACTTGCATCCCATGTATTAACGCCGACCGGAAGATGGTATTAGCCAAGATGTAAACATGAAGGGGTTGGCTTGGATGCAATCGTAAATTTTGCTCCCGGTCGAACCGAACATCGTCATCCGCTGCTCAGTGAGCATGGCGGTAATGAATAGCTTTGCGACTCCTGAGCCAAAGACCGGGAGTGCCTAAAGAAGGAGAACAGTCTTAGCGCTGGCTCTTGGTCTTGGAGGGGACAATGGCGGCCTCCTCCTCCTCTTCTTGGAGCGCGTTACCGTAGGCAGCGACGTAGTCCTTTGCCCACTTGCGTAGAACGATGGATGCTGGTGAATGTTAGTTGTGAACGACAGAGTGGAGTATGCGATGACTTACCCTTCAAGAACTTCTTGCTAGCATACTTCTTAAAGAAGGCCTCGTGAATGACAGGGCTGGAGAGGTAGTCGATCATCAGCTGCAGGACAGGCTGGATCTCCTCCTCGCTGTAGCCGGCGTAGTGTGTGAGGGTATCGTCCCAAGGGCCACGCTCGAGGACGAGGCGAGCAAGGTACATGGCAGCGGCAGCAACTTGGCTGGGGGGATGGGCGAGGAAGCGGTGATCCAGGCAGCCGATCTCGAGGAGGTACTTGCCCAGTGTGCGGGTCTGGATGTCGTAGTTGTCGGCCTTTGATATCCGGCGGAGGAAGTTCATGGGGTTGGGGTAGCTCAGGTCGTAGTTGAGGGCAGCGAGGACGAAACGCTCGGCGCTGAGGATCTCCTCCTCGGTGAAGCCATCATCGGCGACGTGACGGAAGTTCTGGACGTGGGGAGAGAGGACCTCCTCGTACTTGGACGCGATGAACATGGCGGTGACACCAACCAACTGAAGACGGTCAAGCTGGACGATCTTGGCTGAGAGGAAGCGGTCGATGATGTTGACAGCAAGGAAGAGAGTCTCCGGGAGGAGGCGGAAGCGAGTGTGAACTTCGAGTAACCAGTCGACGAGAATACCGCGCATCTTCCACTCAAGCTCAGTCTGGGACTCCATATAGTCCGGGTTGGCCATGGTCGCAATCTCTAGCTCCTTGAGGTACTCAAAGATCTCAACAACGTACTCGGAAACCATCAATGGGTCATCGACGTCTTCCTTGTCTAGGTCTGGGCCCTTGTAGAAGACCTCTGTGATGGGCTCGAGCTCCTTCTTGGTGCCGTTGGCAGCCTTGGTGTCCTTCTCCTCGGTGACGTTCTCCTCTGGGACAACATTCTCAGCCTCCTCTTCATCTTCCTCCTTGAGCTCCTCCTCGGGGTCCTCTTCCTTGACGGTCTTGGTAATTTGCATTCGCTTCTTGGCTGGTTGGCCGGCGATACCGTTGCCGCTGGCACCGCGCTTCTTCACCTCGGATGACGCGAGGTTCTTCTCCTTGGGTTCTAACATGGAACGCGTCGAGTTGGCCCGCGATGGCTTCTTGATGCCGGTAGGCTGTGCTGCTTTGGAGACTGCGCCCTTGGTGGCCAGGACCTTCTTTCCATCCTTCGCGACAGCACCGAGGCCGTCGGTCTTGGTGACATTGCTGACGTCACCGAGGGCAGCACGCTTACGCGTGGCAGCACCGTTCGCGCCTAGGGTAGCAGTAGACTTCTTCGCCTGGAGAGTCTTCTTGGGCACGTCGGCAGCAGACTCGTTGGCGCCGAGGTTGGCGGCCTTTGCACGCGTCAAGCGTGTCGTAGCCGCGTTCTCATCGTTCTCGTTGGTGACGGCGCGCTGCCTGAGAGATCGAGCCTGTAACACGCGTTAGTAGAGTGAATGGTGATGGACGTGTTGCTTCGCGCCGATGGGAGATGGGACGAGAGCAGATGACGTGAGAGCAGGTGAAAGGGCGACGACGTACAGCGGGAGGCATTGCAAGCAATATTATGTATGCTGATCAAGGCTAGAGAGGTATCCAGGTGCTGAGTATATCTGGAGAGTGGAATGGCGGCTGTAGGACTTGTTTTGATACACTGTTTTGAGGTGTCAGCAGAGCTCGGTGAAGCTTGAAAAAGCGCGCGTAGAGGCTGCCAACGCGGGAGCATCAAAAGCCGCGGTGTGCATGCACCGATGTTGCATACAGAACCACGGTCGATGCTCGCGAAAGCTGACCGGACTGACACGCCCGATGGGGTGCGGCAGCGACGGTGACGTGACGGGCGAGAGAGACGAACCCTTGGAGCGCTCGGTGCGTAGTAATTGAGTGGACAGGGTAAAGGTCCAGCTGCAATTAATCGTGAGAGGGAGTGTGGAGGATGGGGGAGGGCGAGAGAGGATGTGCACCAAGGTGTGTTGTGGGTAGGAAGAGAGGTATGTTGTGTGTTTTGAGCGAGGGCAGGCTAGCTTGGCTTCCACGTCCCACGCGCCAAAATCGCATTCGAGGCTGGCAGAGGGCAACAGTGCACGCCCCACAGGCGCGTCAGTGGACTTACCAGAGATGACACCAGGCCCCAACGCGTAAACTTTGCCCGTGCAGTAAGATGGGTCGCGGGCGAGCAGCTGGGCTGTGAGATGGGGGTTCTGGCAAGTGCAGCGTAAAGATGGCGACGAAGACGAGCGTGTTGTGGTGGGAGGGAAGCAGACACACGTTGTTGCTGGGACATCGCGCCCTGCCTGCCCGACCCACCCGGGCCGGCCTAGCCAATTGCGGCGGGTTTGAGAATTATTCGTGACATGACGAGCAGCTGCACGCCATCCAGCCGGCGTCCATTGCACCAGCGTGAAGCATCCAGCGTCCCCAGCTGCACCCCCAGATATGCTGCAGCCGCGGATATGTCGTTTCCAGCCCTCGCGACTGGGCCGGGCGCTGCTGTCTGCCCGCACCTACGCACAGGTCCAGGCCATCGACCTTAAACCTCCCCCAGCGATACAGCCTACCGTGGCTGCCGACGCCGGAGTACTGAAACAGGAAGGCTCGCGCAAGGAGAAGTTTATCCCTCTGCGCACATACAAGCCTCGCACGCCTGGTCTGCGCCATCTCAAGCGACCCGTCAACGACCACCTGTGGAAGGGACGACCGCACCTGAAGCTCACCATCGAACGGAAGGGGCAGCATCTCGGAGGAAGGAACAACACAGGACGGGTCACGGTCAGGCACAGAGGTGGTGGCCACAAGAGGAGGATACGCATCGTCGACTACAAGCGATACCTGCCCGGCAAGCATGTGGTGGAGCGGATAGAGTACGACCCCAACCGGAGCTCGCATCTGGCCCTCATCACCCGCGTGGCTACTGGAGAGAAGTCGTACATCATCGCCGCAGATGGCATGAGGGCGGGCGATGAGGTCGAGAGCTACAGGACGGGTATTCCCAAGGACCTGATTGACAGCATGGGTGGCGGTATCGATCCCGGTATGCTGGCCGCGAAGACAGCCGCACGTGGAAACTGCCTTCCCATTCACATGGTGCCCCTCGGTTCGCAGGTATACAACGTTGGTACCAAGACAAAAGGCGGAGGTGTCTTCTGCCGCAGTGCCGGTACATACGCCATCATCGTGAACAAGGAAGAGGTGGAGAAGGGCAACAACTCAGAGATCAAGCACGTTATTATACGCTTGATGAGCGGTGAAATCCGTAAAGTCAGCGCAGACGCATGCTGCACCATTGGCGTTGCCAGCAACCCGCAATCACACTTCACATCACTCGGAAAGGCCGGACGTTCACGGTGGCTCGGAAAGCGACCAGAGGTCCGTGGTCTCGCCATGAACGCAGGTCAGTTCTTGAATCATTCACTTCAGTTGCAGTCTTCTAACATGTCGCAGCCGATCATCCCCACGGTGGTGGTCGTGGTAAATCAAAGGGTAACGTGCACCCCGTCAGTCCGTGGGGCACTCCAGCAAAGGGAGGTTACAAGACGAGGCACAAGAGGAACAAGCACACATTCCTTGTCCAAGATAAACCCCGCAACCAAGGAAAGCGGAGGGCGAGGTAGGGTGGCCGCCGGTGTACTATATGCTCAAGATGGAGCTGTACCATATACTGTAGTCGCATGCCATGCCGTCTACCAATATACATCAGTACTCACCCAGTTGCGTTTCGACATGCTTGCACAACAGCAGCAAATGCATAATGTTAGCTGTGCTGCCTAGACTCCAGCTGGTCTGACTACCCCAGTGCTTCACCGATAACCCCATCATGCGCATCGCACAACCAAACGTGCATCCCCTGTTCAAGCAATTCGGCATCATCTGCTCGAATTTCGCCTTCATCAAATACTCGAGGCTCGGGGACTCTCTCGGTCGCATCTGAGGTCCTGACGTGTGCCAGCAGAGTCCAAGCAGACTTAGCAGAGTCCAAGCTCGGGGGTCGGAACTTTGGACGTTGCGGCTCTTCTGCAATCTCACGACCACGGCTTCCTGGGCATGCATAGATCACTTGGCTGCTTGTGGCCTGGGCAGAACCAGATCTCCTGCCACGAGCTCATCAAGTCGTGTAATGAACAGTAGGTGGCATCATTATTTAACTTTGAGCATTCTTATCTCTGCGCGCACCGTTAAGTACATGAATTCCTGATTACTACTGGTGTGACCGTTGACAGGCCGACACCTGGTCTCCATGTTTGGGTTGATGACACAAGACGCTGCGCGTAGATCGGTCGCATTTTGATCCATCTTGGGCTGGACTACTGCCCCACCATGCCGCTCTGGCGAAGCTGCATACAGCACCTTGCAGCCACGAAACAACCACATGCGCAACAGGGCACGCAAAGAGACACCATGGGCTCCAGAGTAGCTATCAGGACCTAAAGAGCAAACTTTCTGTATCAGTAATCGTCTATGTAGCTACGAACTTACGGTAGGGGGTCCTTGCTGGCAATCCCAAGACTCGGGAGATCCGCCATAATTAGTCCATATGCTCGACGTTGCACATCACCTCACGCTTAAGGCAACACGCATTGCGCGGACGGCCTTGCAGGTGAGACCAGGTACATGAGCGTAGCTCAGCCATGGCCTGTTCTACACCCAATAGCACATGCACTTCTGACATCCTACTCTTACACCCACCTTAGAGGCATAACGCGCTCTTAGTGCTGCTCAACCGCTGGTGCCTACCCGCGCGCATTCGAGACTCCGAGGTCTTCACCGACACCGACGCTTAGAGCGACCGTTAAACTGCCGACGTAGCTTCGATTAAGATCTCGCAATCAAACGGAAATCGTGGCTTGACAGAGGACCCTCATCCGTTTGAGCCGTGCTTACGCGGGGGCGGTTCGTCTGAGCCAACGTGGATCCAAGACTCCTCCTGGACTGCCAAAGACCAGCAAGATTCGCCAACATGGCTTCCAACGGATCCGAATCGCCAGACGAGTCGTTCTTCAACGACCTCTCCCAACAAGCGCAAGACCCGAATGCTACCAACATTCAGGAAACGCAACAGGATGGATCAAGCAAGGTCAAGAGGATTGCGTGTGTTCTGTGTAGGAAGCGGAAGTTGCGATGCGACGGCACCCGGCCAACATGTTCGACCTGTAAACGTCTGAACCACGATTGCGCATACGACGAAGTACGCAAGAAAAGTGGACCCAAGCGCGGCTACGTCAAGCTGCTCGAACAACGGCTGCGTAAGTTGCGCATACTTCTGCTGGTGGATGGTACTGACTCATGGGATACAGAGCAAGTCGAGACCCTCCTCAAGACACAAGACACGACCGACTCGAGCAAGGACGCCCCGCGCCAGGACGCCGCTTCCGCATACGTCGCGAACACTGTAAATCAATCGCTGCCGAATTCTGGAGATGTGCCCAACACAACAGGCAATACTCAAGCGGCCGGTCGGTCGGGGATTAATGGCGCAAGCCCATTCCAAACTATCGGTATACCAGGGAACGACGCGGGGCAGGAGACCTCGTGGGAGATGATAGGGCTTGGGCTCGAGGAACCTTTACCTCCCCAAGAAATCATGGACGATTTGTATGAGCAGAACCTGCCCCGTAGCAAGGTGGCTGCGCTGACGCTATTCCAGATATCAAATATACTTCTCCAAGATCCATCTCACACTGCCCGTCATACACAGACCGCGGTTTATGGCCGCACTGAACCTGTCTCCTCAAGCGCGCCCGCCGGTTTGTCTGCGATACATCATGTGGACCCTAGCCGCTTCCATCACAGACAAGTATGAGGCGTTACAAGAACATTTCTACCAACGTGCTAGGAAATATGCGCAGATGGATGAGATGAGAGGCCACGGAGAGTCGACCATCACCCTTGCGCATTGCCAGACATGGGTTTTGATGGCTACGTACGAGTTCAGACAGATGTACTTCCCAAGAGCCTGGATGTCATCCGGGAGAGGTTCAAGACTAGCCCAGATGATGCAGCTGCATCGCCTGGACGGAGTTGGACTAGATGTAAAGCAATGCCTGGCTCCGCCCAAGGATTGGACCGAGCGTGAGGAACGGCGGAGAACCTTTTGGCTAACCTTTTGCATTGATCGGTACGCGAGTATTGGAACTGGCTGGCCCATGACCTACGATGAGAAAGACGTAAGGACAGACCTCTCGTGCTCATACTACTGCAAAGCCTGACTGTTTTTTTAGATCATGACAAACCTACCAGCAAGCGAAGAAGCATTTGAAAAGAGTAAACCGATGGATACTGGATCACTGGACCAAATCTTGAATCCTAATGGCGTGCAAAACCTTCAAGCACTCGGCGGTATCGTCCTGACAGCTGCGATGTTTGGCCGCAATTTGCTTCACTTACATCGACCGATGCCAGATGACAATGACGAAAACATCAATGGCGGCTTCTGGAACCGACATCGAAACATCGAGCGTATACTTCTGCAGACATCGCTGAGTCTGCCGGATAATATTCGTCTACCAACTGGTATAGCCGACCCCAACGTGGTGTTCACGAACATGTGCATACATACGTCGGCAATATGTCTTCACCAAGCAGCCATCTTCAAAGCAGACAAATACCGGCTACCAGCAAGTGTCAGCAATGAAAGCAAGATTCGGTGCGTAACAGCAGCAGCAGAGATTGCTTCTATCATGCGTATGATCAGTCATATGGACCTTGGTTCAGTAAGTCTTTAGTCACGGCCAACGATTGGCGTTTACTGATTTGAGCAGATGAACCCGTTTATATCCTTCTGTATTTACGTGGCAGCGAGGGTCTTCGTCCAATACCTCAAGACGCGGCCAAAGGACCAACAGATGACCTCCTCGCTACAATTCCTCCTGCAGGCGATGGAAGCTCTTCGACGGAAGAACCCACTCACAGAGTCGTTCTTAGTGCAGTTAGATCTTGATCTAGAGGGTGCAGGTCTACAGGGCATGCGTCATCAGCCATACACGCAGCCTGCGCGCAAAGTGAGTCAAACCCCAGACGCGCTCCAGGGACACAGTGATACGATTGGGAGTCGATTAAGTCAGAGTTATCCCAAGTAAGTTACTAATTCCTGACACATAGCCTACCATCATTTCGATCCATTCTGATCCGCAAATCAACTGCAGTCCATTAATCAATATACGCGAACCGAATCAACCTGCCACAGCCGCCAACACGTTTGGAAACGGCAATCCGATCACGCCGGCACCGACTTCCAATACGCAATACTCGAGCAACATACCTGGTCCGCCATTTCATCTCCACAACATCAATAGTATCGACATGAGCGCGCAGAACCAGGCCTACTTACCGTCTCAATTTGAGTCGAACAGAGGTTTCGGCACCACTGCAGCTCAAGCCTTCACGCCCGCCGGCGGTTTCGCATTCCACGATAATGAGATGGACCTCTCCGGAGGTGATAGAGACGTCGACCGGCCTAGCCCCGCAACAATGAGCTCACAATCAAGAGGTGGCTCAACATCACAATCTTCTTACTCGCCAGGCCAGCCACTCGAACACAACATCCCATACCGGGCATCTCCAAAGATGACAGGACCAGGCTCCGGCACCGTCTTTCCAGACCTCGCAGCTAATGGCGGAACGTTTCCAACAAATGGCTTCAATCTACCCAACAACATGGGCAATGAAGCTTATACTGATGGCTTTGTAATGGGTAACGAATGGGAATATGCAGCTTTGAACGCGGGAACAGGCCTGACGCCCATGGCAGACGCGTCCTGGGATTCGATGTTGGAAAGCGTTACGATGGGATGGGATTCAGTTGGCCCTGGGCATGAGAATCAACCGAAAGCTGCCGGGGTATGATGGGATTTGTTGTTTGGGGGATGTGTACATTGAAATAGCAGGATACCCACTTTCGCTTTAGTTGGATTTGGTGTTAAGGCTGATGACATGGGTGGGCTCGACTTTTAGGTCACGCACACATTGGCTTCGCGTGCTTTCTGGTAAATCGCCTGCCGACGGTTTTAGATGACGTAGTGCTATCTACGCATTACAGAGGGCGGATAGAACGAACGTTGTATACTATCATGTAAAAACAAGACTGCAACTGGCATACCCAGGTATCATCCTGGGTCCTTGTAGATTCCCCCGGATCCGTGCACGCGGCTAGACATGTACATCGACGGAACCACCTCGGATCGAAATTGCGAACGCGTTGACAGATGTCATTATCGAGGCGAACTCGTTGTTTTTGAAGCTAACATATCATATCGATTGCAATCGATACTTAGCCATGCTCTCGATGAAAGGACCCTGAAGATCCGGGGATAATGAGGCTTGCAGGGATGGGGGCGGTCTGCGTCACACCTGCAGTTGCTGGGCAACCGGATCGAGAAGCTACGTGCAGCATCGCAACCACATCACCACCGCTTTTTCGCTGCGTCGGGTCGTACAATTAATCTTCACTTCTTCACATATCGTTCTCTATCCCTGTTTCTCTGGGCAGAAAAGCTGGCACTCACGACTGGTGCACCGACAATCGCACAGCAAACAGAGCAGTAAACACCACGGCCGACGTATATTCGCAATGTTCACGTCGAAGGAGAGGGAAGGTGCTGCGTCACCAGGGCCTGGAGCCTACTATTCGCCGTCCCAAATGAGTAAGAACTATAGCGACGCCTTCGCACCTGCCATACTGACGATTGGCATAGAGAGCTATCTTCAAGACCTTCGCACAAACCGCCCCGCTCGTCCCACCGGAGCTCGACCTGCTCCTGCACACTTCAACACATGGTCGAATAGATCCAGCAACCGAATGTCCGACTCGACTGCCATCTCCTCCCTACAGCGTACCTTCACAGACCCTGTCGTCGACGCCGATGCACGTCCCGCTTCCTCGCACGAACCGAAGTCGCATACCCGAACAACCTCCAAAGCGAGCCTAGATGGAGTCGTAGCCAGTGTTGGAAGGCCACTAGTGCAGCCACCACGCGGGCGGGAGACATCACGGTCTTCGTCACGATCGCGCACACCCAGCGTGCAATACCGCGAGAGGGAACAGCGCCAGGCAGAGCAGGACGAGGCACGGGCTATACGCGTGGCCATGGAGGACTTGGAACTTGCAAAGGAGGAGGGCAAGATATTCGAGGCCGCACGAGATGAAGCCGTCGAATTGGTCTGGAAGCATTGCAATCCCCATGCGGCCGCGGCCAGTCCGACCAAACCGTATGCATACCCGGGTCTGGCCAGGAAGAACAGCGCGCAGAGGAGTCGGAGCGTCGAGCCGAAGGATCAGGATCTGCAACGGGCCAATTCTAAACTGCGGAAGCGACATTCGATGGGGAGTGCCGCGTCAGGGAGCCGGAGTAGCAGCTTGCAGAGCAACGGCCGCGCAGGCGATGCCGATACATCAGCTGCTGGAATCGCGTCGCCTACCAAGAGCAGCTTTGGCATTATCAAGGGTAAGAACGGCGAGTCACCAGCATTAGCCAAAGCCATCTCAGACCTTCCAGACTTCAAGCAACGACGAAGAAGCAGCGGACCCCGTCGAACCATCAGCGGGAGTCTTTTCTCCAACCCGAACGACCAGATATACGAAGAACCCGAAGAGGAAGCACCGCCTGCTCCTAAACCCACCCCCGCCGCCGAACCACCCAAGACCGAAAAACTACCACTAGGCATACGGCGCAATCCCTTTATGCGTTTCCAATCAATCAAGGGGAACCCACTGGTGAGGTCCAGCACGGATCCTGCCATCGCGACGAAGCGTTTCGACCGCTATGAGATACAGAAGAACCCACCGACCCAATCGAGAAATGCAGCGTATACCCTGAACTCGGCAGAATCGAAGCCAGCAGAAGATGTCAAGGCGGACGTGGAGAATGTTCCCGAGGTGAAGATGAAGGATGGCAAGGAGATCAGGAGCGACGAGCTGCGTGCTGCTACAGGCTTTCGTCTGAAGGACCGTAGTGCGAAGCTACCTACTCCTACAGCTGTCTCAGATGCTCCAGGACGACCGATCGTTTCTTTCCAGAAGAACTGGAATGTCATTGAAATGAAGGAAGAGATATCTGCTGCACCCGATCTGGCACCAAAACCTTTGAACACAACCAAATCTGGCCCGCCGCCACTGGAGCACGCCGCAACTGAGCCTGTCGTACCTACTATCAGTCTCGCACCAGAAGTGCCCAAACGAAACATCACCCCAAGACCGCAAGTTCCAGAGATCAACGTTCCTTCCGAGCCTAAAACCAGCCTCGCACCGGACGTACCAGAACGAAGCACAACTCCAAGACCGCCTGTGGCTCCAGAGGCTAACAGCTCGTCTGGTTCCGCGCCCGCACCCGGACGGTTCAACCTGAAAAACAAACCTACCATCAACATCTACGAGGACCCTCCAGCCCAAACGAGACCTCTGCCGCTCACCAGCTCGCTAAGGAAAGCCAATATACCAACTCGTCCTTCTGCTGCTCCTCTGCCTAGTATCAACGTATCTGACTCAGCGCCTGCGCGTTCGAGGACGACACCAGCGCCGCCAGTTCCTTCTATTTCCGTGTCCGAGACCCCGTCGATTTCGGCCAGGAAGAACATGTTCAATCGTGGCCCCTACGTTCCGCCAACGAGTGCTACGCCGCCTATTCCCAGCATATCAGTCAGCGAGACTCCAACACCGAGACGAGGCTCTACAACACCTTCAATCTCTGTAACACCGGAAGTCCCTTCGATATCCGTTAGCGAATCACCGGCGCCAAACCGTGGATCAAGAGGCAACGCTCCACCAATTCCCAGCATCTCTGTGAGCGAGACGCCCGCGCTGAGAAGGGGAGCGACTGCACCATCTATCAACGTGACTCCTGACATTCCGACCATATCCGTCAATGAGACCCCAGCTCCGACTCGCGGACGCAACAGCAATGTACCTTCAATCAACGTCAACCCTTCAGTGCCTTCGATCAACGTCAACACACCCAAAGGCTTCGGCCCAGCCGCGTCAACACGACCACTGCCAGTTCCAAATGCCCAAAACAAGTCTCACAGCTACAACGGCACAGCCACCCCTCGCACCCACTGGACCCCAACCACCGTCCGCACCGGCGCTCTCTGCGCCCAATGCGCCCTCCCCATCGCCGGCCGCATCGTCTCCGCCTCCGGCGCGCGCTTCCACCCCGAATGCTTCGCCTGCTACCAATGCGGCGAGCACCTCGAATGCGTAGCCTTCTACCCAGAACCCTCCAACAAACACGCCGAACGCGTCTCGCGCATCCGCGCCCGCCTCTCCGGCGCCGACATCCCGTACCTGCCCTCGCACCCCACCGCAGACTCCATGGCGCGCCTCGAGCACGACGACGGCACAGACGAAACGCCCCGCTTCTACTGCCACCTCGATTTCCACGAGCTGTTTTCGCCCCGCTGCAAGAGCTGCAAGACGCCTATTGAAGGCGAGGTTATTGTGGCTTGTGGTGCCGAGTGGCATGCTGGTCACTTTTTCTGTGCCCAGTGTGGCGATCCGTTTAATAGCAACACGCCGTTTGTAGAGAAGGATGGGTATGCTTGGTGTGTTAATTGTCATACGCATCGGTATAGTACGAAGTGTAAGGGGTGTAGGAAACCGGTTACCGATACGGTTGTTAAGGCACTGGGGGCGGAGTGGCATGTTGGGTGCTTTGTTTGCGTTGTAAGTCTTGCCGGTCTTGTTCTTAGTTTGAAGTGACGTTTTTGCTAACTTGTGTGATAGTGCTGCTCTGGTCCTTTTGAAGATGGGAGGTATTTCCTTCGCGGAGAGAGTCAGGATCCGGTTTGTGTTAGGTGTGAGGAGAGGAGGTTGAAGGCTTGATCCAGGCTGCATTACGTGCGCATCTTTGCGTCTGCCGCTGCTGTTGTGTGTGACAATCTACTGTTGAGCGTGTTTGCATATTGTTCGCATACATTGGTGTTTTGGGTATGGGGAACGGCGCTGTTTGGGCGTTTTCTGGGTAGCATAAAGGTAGTTGGGGAGTTGTAATATGAGAATGATGTTTACAAGTCTTGTTAGAACTGGACATGCTGGGTGGGGTATGCATGAAATCGTGACTTTCGTGGAACGGGTCAACATCTCTGACACTTATCCAGTCTCAGTAACATACACAGTAGTCTCCTATTATAATCGAAACTGGGGGCACACGTCGTGTTCTCACGGCTGCGTGACGTCATTGTGTTCACTCCGGGGAGGCAGGAGCCTAGCGCTGGTTGACCACCCGACTTTCTTCTTACAAACACCGACTTGCGCAGCTCTTCCAACACGGCAATAAGGTCACTAACTTCTATTATCACACATCAAATTGCTTATCATTGTGCGCGAAAACTTGGAAGGACGACCGTTGCATGATTGCATCTCCTCCCCGCACCTGCCATCCGGATGTCGCGACGCACATGGACGTCCCCACCAATCGAGCCGCGCTACCTTAGATGAAGGATATTTGCGCTGAGAAGCCATGGTATGACGTAGCTACATTCGTATAGGCGTTACTCAGGCAATGCCCTGCCTTCGCAACGCTCACAAGCTGCGGTGCACCTTTCCGTAGATTCGCCTTCCAAGATGTATGGTATCGGAATAGGCGATACTGGGCTCTCTGTCATCGAAGAGTTCCCAATCCCGGTGGTGGCTGGCTGAGTAATAGTCACTTCGGCAGACTCCACGATAAGTACCTAGGTAGGCACTGAGGTAGGTATTGGACACATACGTGGCACGACATCAACGCCTAGAAGTCCAGACGAGCCTTTTGCGTGAATTTGTATAAACTCAACTGCTCATTTGCCAGATCTGCTTACAGCGTTGTGACTGACTGGGATTAGAACAGGAAAGAGGGGTAGTCGCAAGGCTCTGAGCTTATGATACGAAGAGTTGGTAACGCTGCTTTCTCATCTCTTCCCCTTGTTTTCTTGCCTCCTAAATATCAGGAAGAAGTCGTTATCAGCGCCTTTTGTATCTTGTATACGAACGTACGATGAGCGGAGAACAGCCGCCTGCAAATCCGCCGATGAAGATATTTGTCCTTTGCGATGGAACAGGACAGGATGCGGTTAGAAACCGGGAACCTACGCAACATACGAATGTTCATCGATTCAGGCAATGTGTGAAGAGCTCGAGATTCGTCAAACACATATATCAAGCAGGAATTGGGACACATGCGCCCGCAGATGCCAGTACAATGAGCCTCTCCAATTTGACCGACCTACGTTATCAGGCTACTGGAAGCGGTGAGTGAACCCAGAGTAGCGTTCCAAAGCTACAAAGTATGCGTCTGGTGCCAGCAAGTAACAGAGAATTGCAGATATCTACTCCATCATCCACAAGATGTACAAGGAGCTCTGCGAAAACCATGAGAACAATCGAGACGCCGAGATTCACTTGCTCGGATTCTCAAGGGGCGCATTTGCAGTTCGTTGTCTGGCTTGCCTCATTGAAGACGTGGGATTGCTCGAAGAACCCTTCCGAACGAGGAACTTTGAACGTATCTACAATAACTGGGAATCACAGGACAAAGCCAAGATTGAGGCATGGGAGGAAGAAAGAAGCGAACAAGCTTTTTATCCTGTTACCATTGCAAGCTGTGGGGTCTGGGATACTGTATCCGCTCTTAGCTCCTCCTCCACCCTCTCATTCGTGAATGATAGGGTGCCTGCCAAAATGAGTTTTGCGTTCCAGGCGCTAGCTCTGCATGAGCGACGAAAAATATACAATCCGGTACTTTGGAAGCACATACCGAATCAGAAGACATGTATTCGCCAAACCTGGTTTGCTGGGGATCATTCCGACATTGGCGGCGGCTGGCCCGATTGTGGACTTGCAAACCTGACGTTGATCTGGATGTTGGCTCAGTATAAGAGATGTTTTCCTGATTTGATCATCAGTTGCAAAATTTTGTACAAACGTCTCTGTCCACCCGGAGCTGGATGGCCTTCACTGAGTTACACGTTAAGCCAAGGTGTGTGTGTGTGTCGCGGAGGTGCGCAGGCTAGGGGATTCAGTACTAATGTCTGTTTACAGGGAATGTAAATCACTCTTGGATTGGGGGCATATGGACCCAAGGATACAAAGCTCGAGAGCTCTTTCTCGGAAAAGACGCAGAAAATGGTGAGGATGGATCAGCCCAGCCGTGTCACCGACAGACGATACATTTCACGGCGCGCGTCTTTCTGGCTATGGGTCGGCAAGAGGTTACCGAACGCACTTGCCTACTCACGGCTGGCTATACCGAGACTATCACTCCCGATCAGTCATCCATAGCCTGGGTACTGAAGAAGACAGGAAAAATGAAGCTGGAGAAGAAGGAGGGCGAGGGAAGTGAGAAAGACGACATGCAGAAGAAGGGAAAGAGTAGAAAGAACGAGGCAAAGAGAGTGACGAAGAGCAAGAGGATAAGTCAGAAAGAGGACGTAAGAAAGAAGAAGGAGAAGGAGAAGAATCTGCAGGATACCCTAACCATCGCAGAGGATGAAACGACAAAGTGGGAAAACGACATCATCTTCGAATGGACCAAGAAAGCGCAAAAGCTTGTCAAGAAAGAAGTCGGTAACCTTTTCAGGGAGGGCATTGCTTACTATGGAATGACTTTCAAGCATCTCCTTCGTGGACACAAAGCATCCAGCAACAATTCTAGCATCACGGTCGAACAAATCATGTCTGAAAAGCCAGGTCGCACTGTCGAGCAGGCGTACAAGATCATCATCGATCAGGCGTGGGAAGTCAGCCTAGAACACTTTCTCCGTAAGAACCAAAATCAGGCAACTTGCGAAGCAGCATACAAGGTTCACTACCCTCCACCCAGAAACGTTGTCGTGAGATCTCGTAAAAGGAGCTCATCGGAAAAACCGCCGCGAAGGATACTTGTATCCGAGGAACGGGGAAAACGGCGAAGTCGGTCATCCAACCCATCCAGAGACGTGACTTCATACAGCGGTCAAATCGTATACGGTAAAGCGCCTTAGGAAAGAACGCAGCTTGGGCGTTACTAGGTAGAAACAACGAGATCAATTCACGGCGGCACTTCATACAAGAGAAGAAGCTGAACAAGACTGAAGACTACATTAAGATAAAAACAGGCGAGGCAGGTAACCTAAAATTGATGGATGCTCTAGGGTGATTAGGTAGACACTAGCATAAGAAGATAACGTCACGCAGCTAGGAGAACACAATATGTGCCCTCATTTCTCGAATATCATAAGAGTGTCAGGTGATTGTTATGCACAGTATTGTGACTAGATTAGCGTAAGAAATGTTAGGTAGTTCCACGGTTCGAGTTCATGATATCTCGGTACTACCACTATACTCACATAGGAGTCATACACGCTTACCACGATATAAGTGCACACCATCCGTAGCCCAGCTTCTAGACCGCTACATCCATTTCAAGTTCCAACTCACAAGCACGCAACCAGGCATGCCTTCATTAACGTCTTCGTCCAAACTAGCGAGTTCAAAACGGACCAGGACTCTCATATCCCTTGAAGACGAGCAAGATTTCCTCACTACGCGGGTATGGTGTACTAGAAGGTATATGAAGAAGCTAGGCGAAGAACTAAACCACGAAAACTTGGGCAGTACGAAGTACTGGGAGAAAGCAACGGAATACACCGTTTTGGGTCGGGAGTTATCGTTATACCAGCTCCAGAGAGCAAAAGTTGACCATCGTATCGCTCTTAAAAGAAAGGAATTTCGGTCTAAGGTCAAATTCATGAGAACGGATAAAGCGCGGCTGTTCAGGGAGAGTATGATGGCTTGGGATTTGAAAGGAAAAATCTATGAGCGACGTGCTGCTGGAGCCGGAGGAGCTGAGACTGAAAAGAGCACCAGACTGAAGTCGCTCATACCAGTTTCTCCCATGGCTCCATCGCGATTCAACATAGAAGCCACCTTCGCACGCCACGGTTTCAGAAACTCCATCATCGCAGATCAAGGAATGGTGGACCCTAGGGAAAGAGACAATCTCAGGTACTGGAGTTACCTCTGGAACATATTCTCCGGGACCTACGAATACGGAGGCTATCGGCGGTTTGAAGCTACGCCTGTTTTCGCCTCTCAGTCCAACCCAGACCTTGCTACCGCACTATTCGGTTCCAGCAACATCGACTCCCCTTCTTCTCTCTTCTCATCATTCAACGGACTTCTACTACCTGATTACATGGGAGCACGCTTCGACAGTGGCATTATGGCCATTGTTCCCGATATCTCCTCCCCCACGTACCCCTCCGAAATAGCATTGTGGAAAGACACCACGCCAAGAGAATACAAACTCAAGATCTTCACGCAGAACCGAGAGACCGAACAGACGGGTGGGCTGATGCAAGATATCAATTCCTTTACAAACGCCCGTAGGCCAGTTCCACTCCGCGATATCGACGGGTCGAAAGTAGGATTCCCTGTTTCTAGTCGGGAGGGTAGACCGAGGGAGTGTTATCTGTTTTTCCACTATTGTGTGCAGATACTGCGACAGGCTTGGAAAGGTCTTCCTGTAGTAGACGGGGAAAGGCCTGGGTCCGATTGGGGTGATGTGGGGAAATATGTTGACCGTGAGCAGATGCGTGCGGTTATTGATGAACTTGGGGGTGAGTATGAGGGTTTGATGGGGTGTGCGGGGGTTGGCGTTGGCGATGGTGGAGGAGATCGGTACATGCTCCTTGAGGCACTAGCTGAGCAGGTCATCATTAGTAATCAGATGAACGGGAGGAGGGATGAGTTGTATGGCGATGAGGAAGATGAGGATAGCGACGAAGACGACGATGGCGACGATTGGTGTCCCATGAAGACGCCTTATTATAACCCAACTGATATAGCGAATACGTCGTATCGTCTGGACGAATAGTTTGGTGAGAAGACTGGATCTATATCTTACTTGCGATGTGAGGAGATGCATTAGATACCCCTTCGCATACCGCCCCATAACGCATGACATGACCCGGACATTTCACTGTACAATATGCTCAATTTTCCATTCTCAATGGTACATCTAATAATACAAAAGGGCCTTTCAATCAATCCATCGCCCCGAGTCAAACAAAGCTATAAGCCGCGAGAAACCACGCTCAAAACCAAGCAAAAATACTCCATGCATGCAACCGTCTTTTCATGACCCACACCAATGCTTTCTTGCCAGAGAAAAACATCGTCCCGTCGACATGCCCCAACCCCACCCACTCCATATACCCTAATTATGCAAGAGATGGACCTGAGCCAGACTTGTTATGAAATGTCTAGTTGACGTGTTGCCCTTGATACCCAAAAACGCCGCAACGGTTGCTGAAAGAAAAACAGGGGATAGCAGGCAAAAGGAAACAGGGTGTAAAGGGTTGACGTAGCCTTGCTGAAACAAGAGGGCTATCCTTTTGGCCATGAGAGAAAGTGCAGAACCTCCGACCTGAAATTGCATTGGGTGCATCAGAGGCTCACTGACTGCTTCCATGATCATATCCGTTCGAACCATTTGTTACATCAAGAATCCTATTCGGCGCCGGACTCGACTTCTTGACGGGCGGATCAAGGATGGTCGGACTGGAAAGCGGTTCCAGGCTCTTGACGGGCGGGAAGATAGGCGTCTCGGACATTTGATGGCTTGATACCGGGCGCATGGCGTCATGTTTTGAGGGCGCGGGAATGGGGTCTGGGAGCATCTGCGCGGGCATTTGGGACGATGGTGATGGAGCTATGCGCATTGGTGCTGGGGCCGGGGAGGACATGTTTGCTGGGAGGGGCGCGGGCGAACTGTGTTTGGTCGGGGAGAAGGAGGGGCGGTTGGCGGAGCTGGGTGGGAAGGAGGAGTGCGGGCTGTTGAAGTTGAAGCTTGGTGGTAGGCCGTTGGTTGGACGGGGGGAGGCGGCTGGTGAGTGCTTTACTGGTGAGCCGCCTGGGCCTGCTGCTGATGCTGGGCGACTGAAGCTCCGCACATACGGTGCTGCGGGTTGTGGTGGGCCGAATGGATTCGAGTTGAAGGGGTTGGGTCCGCCGAAAGAGCTGCCGTTCTGCTGTGGCTGTGGCATGTGGAAGCTTTTTGTTGGGCTGCTCGGTATCCGTTCGAGGTTGTACGGTGGAGGTGACGATGTTGGACCGTTGCCAGTTCTGTGCCCAGGAGACGAGAAGTGAGATCGTATTGGCGATGACATGCTACCGTTCGCGCCCTTGGTGGGTGATCCATATGCGGCTTCCGATCTTTGTATGCCAGGTGGACCTAGAGCTTGACCACGGGGAGAGAGACTCGGGCCATCGACCCATGGCTGTGCGGGATGCATGGAGGGCTGGAAAGCTTGTGGTCGTGGTAGTTGTACTGCATCAAACAAGTTCGTTGACATAGAGGGGCCGTTGCCATTTGCTTCTGCTTGGTTTCGTGGTGACTGAGATGTCAATCGTAGCTTGAGAGAAGGGAGTTTCGGCTCGTCCGCCTCTCCCTCTTTACGCTTGCAGGCAGTGCAAACAAACGTGAACTTCGAATCGTCGGCCTGTTCTTCTGTGATGTCATGGCACTTCATGTGTTGCCAGACATTGCACTTCTCACACGATATTTGTGGGGTGTTGTCGTTCTACTAAAGTCAGCGGAATGCATGGTCGATGTGCAGTAATACTCACCAGGTTGGAGCCGTAAGTGCCGCACTTCTCGCAGTCAAAGAACCAATCTTCCTCCTCGTTAAGCCTTTTGAGATCACTCTCATGCTTCTTCATCATGGCTTTCAGGTGTCGCTCCGATAGCCTGGCATTGTTTGAGGCCAGCTTCTGTTCGTTCTCGTGCAGTTTACGCAGCTCCTCTTCTTTCAGAATCTTTGCCGTCTCACGCTCCTTCAGCCGTTGCTCACGAGTCATCCTGCGAGAATCCTGTGCCTCCTCCATCTTCTTTTGCTTCTCTTGCTCCGCCTTGGCCATCGCAAGTTCTTCCTGCCTCTTACGTTCTGCAGCCTCGGCTTCTTCAACCTCCTTCTGTTTCTCGAGTCGCGACGAGATTCGGGACGAGCGCTTCGCTGTAGCAAGCTTCTGCATGTTCTCCAACTCCTTCATCTTGCGGGCCTGCTTCTTTGCCTGCTCCTCTGCCAGCCCCTCCATGACAGGCATAACGTCTTCCTGAAGGCGTTTGTATAGAACCTTTTCGTTTGGATCGCGACTCTTCCGGATGCTGCTCATGTATTCCTGGTAGTCTTCCAAGGTGACGCAAATGCACTCCCACTTCTTGCCGCCGAGACCGTCGTCAAGCTCTTGAGGCTGTTGCTCTTCAGTTGCTTGCTCCTCCTCCTCAGCTTCTTCGGGTTCGGGAGTGGACGCCTTTTGTCGCTTGCTGGCTCTTGAACCTCTCGATTTCTTGGGCTTTGGTTTAGATTTGGCCTTGGCTTTCGTAGGTTCGGGAGGAGGTGGTGGATCGGTCATTCGGTACATGCGGTTGTCGTCGAGAACGAATAGCGATCGCTCTTGCGAGTCCCAGCCCGTGGGCTCCATACGCTGTGGCATGTTAGTCGTTGCCCTGCACCAATCCCAGTGATGCTTACCCATAGTGTCTGCTCGCTATCCGTCGCTCCAATCTTCTCTCTTATTGTGTTCGGGTTGTTGAGCGTCCATACGGAAAGTTGTTGCAAGACGCGTATTTTGGTGAAGACGTCGAAGTCGTGGAACTTGTTGGGCTCCTCTTCCTCGCCAAAGGGGTTTTGGGCGGGCGCTTTCGCGACATACTGTCGGCGGGTGTATTCATCGAAGATTTCGGGTCTACCATCATGTCAGTACTATCGAGACTATGCGCAATGGCCAGGTCTTACGTCAAGCCCTTGTGTGACGATACGTGCTTCAGCAGCGCTAGGCCAATTTGTGCGAGTTTGTCGGATGGCTGTGGTTGGAGACATTCGGATTCCAATTCCTGCACGTGTGTCAGCTCGTGGTCCTTGTAAAACATATGCGCGCCGGGCTGGGATGCCAGGCGCAAAGGGCATGTACCTCGATGTCAAAGTCCTTGTCGATTTTG